AGAAGGTCGTTGAAGTAGACATTCCATGACAATGGTCCCAGCATGCTTCTTTGTGGAATACTTGCCCCAATAGGATGTCTTGCTGATTCCGTTCCATTGAGATCTATCATGAAGGTAATCACTGAGGAGACATAGCGTAGAGCCTGCAATTCCCAGTGCTTGAAGTTTTGCTAAGAGGCCCTGTTGCCACACCCGGTCAAAAGTGCCAGCAATGTCCAGTGCTACCACTCAGCTGACTTTGGATTCATCCAGTGACTGGTGCCACTTAGTGGAGAGGTTTAATAACAGATCAGCAGCAGAGTAACCTTTCCTGAAGCCATATTGACGATCACAAAGTAGTGAGTGGTAGTCAAAAAACTGTCATTTGTCTTAAGATTTTTGTCTCAAGGATCTTACCAGTGATTGACAGGAGTGTCACTGGTCTGTAGTTGCTGATTTCTGCTCTGCTCTTCTTTTTATGAACAGGGACTACATTTGCCTCTTTCCATAGAGAGGGCCATTTACGCTGTACTAGGCAGTGCTGAAAGATGCGAGTTAGAGGTGCTGCTAGCTGGTCTGCACATCTTCTCAACAATCTTGGGCTCAACTTGTCTGGGCCCACAGAATTTTCTTGGTCAAGCGATTTAAGAAGGAAGTGCACCTCCTCCTGCCTTACTGTCACCACTGACAGTTTTGGCACAGTTCTTGCAGCTAGCCAAGGAGGGTTCCTTGCTGGATCAGGAACTTGCATTTTGGTAGCAAAGTGTTCAGCAAAGAGGTCCGCCTTCTCTTGACTACTAGTAGAGGTGGTCCCATCCTGTCGATTTAGAGGTGGAATAAGTTCATCAGGCAGATAACCTTGTCTGTCCTTGACCAGGGACCACCAGGTTTTGGAGCCTACCCTACCTGATGCTAGCTTTCTTTTAGTGTTCACCTCCCATTTAGCAATGGCCCACTTTTGAACATCACCCATATGCCTACAGGCTTGCGTGTGCAAGTTCCTGTTATAGGTGGTAGGATGTCTCTTATACCTTCGCCATGCTTTGTACTTAGCAGTAGCAGCCTCTCTACAACGAAAGCCAAACCAAGGCTAATCTGTAGGCTTCGTCACATATTGCCAGTGAGGAATGTGTTCTTGTTGTAGATTAAGGATGTGTCCAGTGAAGGCTTTCACTTGGTTGTCAGCATCCCCTTGGAGAAGAGCATTCCAATCGATGGTGGCGAGCTCAGAGCAAAGGGCTGGCCAATTACCTCTTTCCCATAGCCAGGTTGTGCGTGTGGACTCCTCACCTCGTTCTGTTGGGATCTTAAGTATCGTAAAAACAGCCTTGTGGTCAGACGATCTCTCCCTCTCCCTCTCTCCCTCTCCCTCCCTCTCTCCCTCTCTCTCCCTCTCCCTCTCCCTCTCCCTCTCCCTCTCCCTCTCTCCCTCCCTCTCTCCCTCTCCCTCTCTCCCTCTCCCTCTCTCCCTCTCCCTCTCCCTCTCCTCCCTCTCTCCCTCTCCCTCTCTCCTCTCTCCCTCTCCCCCTCCCTCTCTCCCTCCCTCTCTCCCTCTCCCCCTCCCCCTTCCCCTCTCCCCCTCTCCCCCTCTCCCCCTCTCCCTTTCTCCCTCTCCCTCTCTCCCCCTCTTTTTTTTTTCTTTTTTTACACAGCGTTTGACAAGATTAAGGATCCTTAGCTTTATTGACAAGCTATTTACAGGTTAAGGATTCCTAACTTTATTGGCAAGCTAAGAGCTGTTACCTACATCAGCTCATTTGAAAGCATTTTTGTTGTTATGAGACATACAAGTAGGGAACAGGATGAAGTTGGAGCCATCTGTGGGCCTGCATTTTCATTTGATCAACTGACTCTATCTCATTGACATCATTATGCTGTATGAATGTGCTCCATACTCGAGTCATCCTTTGTACATATGATCTCAGATGGAGTGATGTTCTGGAGAAGGGTACAGCCAGAGTGAAGTTGCTGCTTTCTGCCCGTCTTGTGGCATAGAAGCTTGTTTCACGCTGTCCTTGAAGTGGATCCAAGTGTGGTACTTTGACAATATTGGCCTTGTACATAACAGTAAGGCCACCCACATCCCTCCTGTGTTGAAGGCTCTGCTGAAATGACAGATCTATCCAGGATTGGTCCAGGTGAGAGATGAGACTTCTTGCTCTGTTCTCTACTCTGTCAAGCAGTTGCAGATGAGAGGGGGTGCAGGCAAACCAAGAAGGTGGAGCATACTGAAGGTGTGAGTGTACTTGTGCCTCGTACAGAATCTTGCAACCCCTACTATCAAGCAGATGTGAGATACAGCGAAGTGCTGTAAGCTTCCTGGCTGCCTTGTTTGCAAGATTTACAACATGGTTCTTCATGGTCAGTTTGGAGTCAAATTTCACCCCAAGGATATCAACTTCTTCCCCAGGTGCCAACACCCTCCCATTCATCCTTACTACTACACCAGCATTACCATCGTGGTGCCTAGAGACCATCATCCTTTGCATTTTCTCAGGTGCAGATGTTACTTGCCATCTATTTTCCCAAGCTAATATAGCTCTTAGCTGGTGTTTGATGTAGCATAGAGCAGCTGGCATTTCTTCTCTTGGATAAGTGAATGTCAGTGTACAGTCATCTGCATGTGCATGGGATTCTGGGATGAGATGAAGAAGGTCATTGAAGTAGACATTCCATAACAATGGTCCCAGCACGCTTCCTTGTGGAACACTTGCCCCAATAGGATGTCTTGCTGATTCTGTTCCATTGAGAACTACCCTTGGAGATCTACCATGAAGGTAATCACTGAGAAGACAATGTAGAGCCTGCAATTCCCAGTGCTTGAAGTTTTGCTAAGAGGCCCTGGTGTCACACCCGGTCGAAAGCACCAGCAATGTCCATTGCTACCACACAGCTGACTTTGGATTCATCTAGTGACTGGTGCCACTTAGTGGAGAGGTTTAACAACAGATCAGCAGCAGAGTAACCTTTCCTGAAGCCATATTGACGGTCACAAAGTAGTGAGTGGTAGTCAAAAAACTCTGTCATTTGTCTTGAGATTATTGTCTCAAGGATCTTACCAGTGATTGACAGGAGTGTCACTGGTCTGTAGTTGCTGATTTCTGCTCTGCTCTTCTTTTTGTGAACAGGGACTACATTTGCCTCTTTCCACAGAGAGGGCCATTTACACTGTACTTGGGAGTGCTGAAAGATGCGAGTTAGAGGTGCTGCTAGTTGGTTTGCACACCTTCTCAGAAATCTTTCTCTCCCTCTCTTTCTCCCTCTCTCCCTCCTTCCCTCTCTCCCTCCTCCCCTCTCTCCCTCCTCCCCTCTCTCCCTCCTCCCCTCTCTCCCTCCTCCCCTCTCTCCCTCCTCCCCTCTCTCCCTCCTCCCCTCTCTCCCTCCTCCCCTGTCTCCCTCCTCCCTCTCTCCCTCCTCCCCTCTCTCCCTCCTCCCCTCTCTCCCTCCTCCCCTCTCTCCCTCCTCCCCTCTCTCCCTCCTCCCCTCTCTCCCTCTCCCTCTCTCTCCCTCTCTCTCCTTCTCTCTCCTTCTCTCTCCCTCTCTCTCCCTCTTTTTTTTTTACACAGGGTTTGACAAGGTTAGCTTAAGGATCCTTAGCTTTATTGACAAGATTTTTACAGGTTATGGATTCCTAACTTTATTGACAAACTAAGAGCTCATTTGAAAGCACTTTGTTATGAAACATACAAGTAGGGAACAGGATGAAGTTGGAGTCATCTGTGGGCCAGCATTTTCATTTGATCAACTGACTTTATCTTGTTGACATCATAATGCTGTACTAATGTGTTCCAGACTTGAGTCGTCCTGGGGATAAATGATCTCAGATGAAGTGATGTTCTGGAGAAGGGTACAGCCAGAGTGAAGTTGCTGCTTTCTGCCCATCTTGTGGTATAGAAGCTTGCTTCTTGCTGTCCTCGTAATGGAGCCAAGTTCAGTACTTTGACAATGTTGCCCCCCCCCCCTCTCTCTCTCTCTCTCTCTCTCTCTCTGTCTCTGTCTCTCTCTCTCTCTGTCTCTCTCTCTCTCTCTCTCTCTCTGTCTCTCTCTGTCTCTCTCTGTCCTCTCTCTGTCTCTCTCTCTGTCTCTCTCTCTGTCTCTCTCTCTGTCTCTCTCTCTGTCTCTCGTCTCTGTCTCTCTCTCTGTCTCTCTCTCTGTCTCTCTCTCTGTCTCTCTCTCTGTCTCTCTCTCTGTCTCTCTCTCTGTCTCTCTCTCTGTCTCCTCTCTGTCTCTCTCTCTGTCTCTCTCTCTGTCTCTCTCTCTGTCTCTCTCTCTGTCTCTCTCTCTGTCTCTCTCTCTGTCTCTCTCTCTGTCTCTCTCTCTGTCTCTCTCTCTGTCTCTCTCTCTGTCTCTCTCTCTGTCTCTCTCTCTGTCTCTCTCTCTGTCTCTCTGTCTCTGTCTCTCTGTCTCTCTCTCTGTCTCTCTCTCTGTCTCTCTCTCGTCTCTCTCTCTCTCTCTCTCTCTCTCTTTCTCTCTCTCTTTCTCTCTTTCTCTCTCTCTTTTTCTCTCTGTCTGTCTCTCTCTCTCTCTCTCTCCATATTACAACTCTGTTAAGCATATATTAATTAAACCAGCAACAATTACTACAGTATTGATAAGTGCACAGCAACACTCCTAGGTAAATATTCTTTATTTCAGAGGTGAATGAAGTTAAGTGTAGATCATGACTGAGGAACATAACTTTGTAAAGTGTGTTTCCTGTTATATTCAGTAAAAGAATCTGAGTATCAAACATGTTACTTACAGTGAAATTTCAACTACGCATCAAATTTATAAGTTGGGGTCCTACTGTATAATAGAGAACATACAAATATACATTCTTATATTCTTTCATACATTGAGGTATGTCTTCATCATTTTTTTAATTTTGCATAAAATTATTGTGATGTATTTCATGTGTGCATGATTTTTTTTGTTTTGCCACAGTAAAGGTTGTAATGAAAGGCTTTAACAAGGAAGCATTTCACCCCCTTATTTTTCATTTATTAAATTATGTCTCCTGTAGAAAGTTGCTTATATTTCAGGAACATCATTCTCTTCCCGGGTGTTTGACTCCAACTTAGGTGGATTTGGTGGCGGCACAGGTGTCTCAGGTCTGGCAGCGGCACTTCTTGATGGACCCCAGCTGCCTCCTGGCCCGCCTCAGCGTCCTCCACTCACTCGCCCAACCAGTTACTCCACGGGAGAGCAACATCACCTTCGGGAAAAAGCACGAAGTGAGTTTAATAGTGTTTAAATTCCTGGCGTCTTTTAATGGCCGCTATACTCATTATATTTTGTGCTTGTCGCTTTAGTAAGGGTTTCCATTTCCTGTATATCTATTTTCAATTGTCAGACATAGTTGTGTGTCAGTGGAAATGTTGGTACATTGTATCAATAATACAATGAAGAGTCTGAAGTGAATTTCTGAAATGATGCAGTATAGTGAAAGATATGAGGAATGCTTTGCTCTTAATAATCTTAAAATATACATTCGTTATGTATATGAAGTGTTAAGGTATTAAGACCTTGAAGTGTTAAGGTATTATGCTTATGAAAAATATTGTTTATGAAGCATTGCAGCACACTTGCATTAAGGGTTGTTAATATTGCTGAGTTGAAAAAATTATACAGTATACTGTATTATGATCTGTATTTGTGATTCTTAAAGGTGCTATTATTCTACATCTGAAATTTACATTATTTTGGGAAATATTTCGATGAATTAATCATATTGTTTTTGCAATAGGGCTCTGGGGGCCCATCTGGAATGTGTCACACCTCATTCACTCTGATACTCACCTCTCTTTTGACCCCAGTAAGTTTAGTATGTACACTTAGTGCTCAGTAACGATCTTCAATTCGCACCCACTCATCAGGTGATATTCGCTTGTGAGCTGTGTCATCCAAAGTTTACATAATGCCCTAAAACCCAGTTATCACTCATAATCCATCACATCAACACTGATCTTTTACTTCTCTTATGGTTTCTTTTTCAGCTAGTAGTCCCCTACATCTTTGCCCCATATTGAAGGTTTTTTACTACTATGAGGGCTCAACTGGCTCAGTACGAGATGGCATGAGAGTCACTAGATGATGCACTCACTCTTTCATTACATCCTTCATATTCTAGAGTAATATGTTGTAACTTTAGCACTTTCTTCTCCTTTCACCTTAATGGGTTGCAGTACTACTCTATACCTACGATTGTTAGGCTTAAGACAGTGCCCTTTATCTTCATTCACATCTATCAAACTTGTGTGTAGGCTTTATATTAATTGTATTGGTGTTCCTCTACTTTAACAACATTCTATTGACTGGATTGTTATATCTCTACTTTGTGTGCATCTCCAGATAGTGCTACAAATGTTCCAGTCACTAGGCTTTAGCCATTCCTCCTATCAGTGTCAGTATCGCACTTTGGCTGGAGAATGTTAAATGTGTGTTGTTGACAATAGAATGAAAACATGATTGTTTTAAAATGTTTTGTACAGTCTCATTGGTGCCTCATATTGTTACCTTTTATGTATTATTGCATTTAATGACAATGTGGTATGTTATAATTGATTCATTTATTCAAATAAACAACAGTTTAATCTAACCTAAATTACATATATTAAGAAATTTGTTAAAACAGTATGTAAGAAATAGAAGTTGGCTTTAGGAGAGCAGGTTGTAGGCTTACTCATCAACCACAGTAATACACAGACAACCCACACATAGGAGAAAGTAACTTATGACAGCGTTTTGGTCTGACTTGAACCATTAACTAGTCAGTGGTCCGAATCAGACCGAAACGTTGTCGTAAGTTTCTGTCTCTTATGTATGGCATATTTATGTTTTGTTCCAGTCATAGTATTGTGCCTTTTTTGTTCTTTAACCACAGTTAATGCTTGCTCCTTTCCTTGCACTCCATAGTTCCTAGCTTGGTTGGTTATAATAATGTTGGTAGAATTATCGACAATATGTCAAGTAAAAGGACACAATGCAACTAAAGTGACATTTTATTGTGGCAACATTTCGCTCTCCAGGAGCTTTGTCAAGCTGTTACGCCTTGACAAAGCTCCTGGAGAGCGAAACATTGCCTCAATAAAATGTCACATTAATTGCACTTGTGTCCTTTTACTTCACATATTGGTTGGTTATATAGTGTGATTTCAGCAAGCTTTGCTTCTCTGTTTTCCCTGAAAACAGACCTCTGCAAGAACCAAGAGTTCCTGTCTCAAATGATGATCTTCATACAAGACATGGAATGCATCATGTTTGGCATATGTTTCATGGCTCTCATCCTTCCTCTTAGGCTCCTGTATCTTTCTTGGGTTGTGAGGGAAATGCATCAACTCTCCATTCTGCAGAGATAAGTGTCTTTTCCTCCCTCTGATACCCCAAGAAGTTTTCCCAGTTGTGGCTGGGTACAGCCAACCATTGGTGCCTGTAACCTTTCATCCTCATGTGCTCATGACCCACACCTATGAGTCCTACTGAGGAATTGCCTTCAGTGAGTCTTCATAACTCCTTGGCCTTTGGCTCCCTCATCAGTTTTTGGTGAAATGACAGTAACTCAGGGCTGCCCACATGTCAGTCTCATGCAGTTTTTCCAGTAATCACTTGGCCCTGACCCAGCTTTGCTGCCTAACCTCGAAGACTTCTGATCTTTTCTTCCTCACATTGAAGATTTTTCTCCTGTGAGTGAAAGTTCACTAGTGCATTATATTTTTTCTTTACTCTTATTCATATGCTTTGAATACAGTTATTTCTTGCTTAATGACTTCATTAGGGATTATAAGGATGATTCTTTAAGTGAAAATTATTATAAAATCTAATTTTCCCATACAATCCCATGTTGTAACTCAAGTTTCTGAATAGGACAGTAATTATCGGTATGTACAGTAGACCATTATATTACACGGTAGTTACGTTCCTGAAAACACCGTGTTAGATAAATTGGTGTTAGATAAACTGAAGAACTTATGGGAAAAATTAGGGTTACATTCCTGGGAGCCCCAGAAAAGCCAAATAACTTTTTTTTTACCTCCAGATCTTACAAAAATGAAAGTGAATATGTAATTGTAGTTCATTGTTGTGATGTATTATGTTGTTTTTACTGCTTAAGACTACAAATACAACAGAAAAAATAGTATTTCTTACCTTAAATTGTGGGTGCTGGTGTTTGTTGATGATTGTGAAGAGAGTGGAGAGTTGTGTTGTGGCCCTACTGGACTGAGGTGGATAGTAGAGGTTCTGGTACTGAAGCTGATGGTTGTACTGGAATGTGCATAAATTCTGTAATGGATTTCTGTTCTGTTTTACCCTGCAGTACATTATACCACTGATGGTAAGGCATCAGCTGCTCTTGATACCATTTCAGAGCACTGCTTCTAGAATTGTCAGGGTCCTCTTCAGTGAAAAAGTCTAACTTTAAATCAGTAAATCAGCCAAGTCAGTCAGTAAAGTAAGTCAGACAGTAAATCAATCAAGTCAGTAAAGTCAATCAAATCAGTCAGTAAGTCAGTAAAATCAGTCAAGTCAGTAAAATCAGTAAGCTAGTCAGGTCAGTCACTCAAGTCAGTCAGTAAGTCAGTCAAGTAACTCAGTTATTCATCACACAAACTCATATATTACCTTATTCTTTTTAACCCTTTAATTGTCGGTGCTGTAGTACTACTACTGCTTGCAAGCCAGTGTTGGTGCAGTAGTACTACCCCAAAATTCTAGTGGCCTCAAATCTAGAGGGAGAAAGCTGGTAGACCTACATATGAGAGAATGGGTCTGAATGGTCGTTGTGTGAAGTATAAAAAAAAATCTTGAAGCATGCAGTGCATAATGAGAAAAAAAACTGACCATGTTTTTGTTTTAAAACACCAATTTTGCTGTGTATTTTTATATGGTATTTATGGTCATATTCTCTTTTTTTTTAGTCTCATTTGATAGAATGGAAGATATACAGTGGACCCGCACCTTACGATGGCATCGCGTTACGTTAAATCTGCCATACGATACATTTTAACGCAAAAATTTTGCCTCGCCTCACGTTTTGTCCCGGTCTGGGAGGCGTCCCACGTGTGGCCTGAGCGCGCCTCAGCTGCGACGTGGGTGCCAGTGTTTACAAGCCAGCCAATGTGCTCACATCCACGCATACAATCGGTACATTTCATATTATCACAGTGTTTTTAGTTATTGTACCTGCAAAATAAGTCACCATGGGCCCCAAGAAAGCTTTTAGTGCCAACCGTGCTGTAAAAAAGGTGAAAATTAGGGTCTAGAATAAACAAGAGAGACATTCCTGGCACTAAAATAACATTTTCTCTGTTCATTAGTCACATCTCCAGGCCCCTCTTACATCCCTTTTGCTTTCCACTTTTAATTTTTTTTCTCTCAAAAAATATAAGATTTACTGTTATGCAGACTACTGCATTAGTGTAGAAATGGTATAAATAATATCAGCGCACTTGTGAAAGAATATTAGACTCACCAGTTGATGTGTATTGGACGCGTGGCATGATTTGTTTACTTTTGAACTTTGGCAAAAATCGAACATTTCTGCTACTTTGAACTCAATTTCAAGGTACTTTTCATTGTGAAACCAATCAAAATCATCTCATTTTCTGTAATATGTTTTCCATTCTATAAAATGAGACCAGGAAAACTAGAAAACAACCATAAATACCATATGAAAATACAGTGCAAAGTTGCTGTTTTAAACCAAAAACACTGTCAAAGTTTATTTTTTTCTCAATACGCACTGTGCTGCAGGATTTTTTTTTGTACTGTGCACACTGACAACATAGACCCATTCTTTCATATGTAGGCCTACCAGCTTTCTCTAGATTTGAAGGTGCTAGAATTTACGTGTACTAGTACGTCAATAACCCTGGTGCGTTAGCTATATTAGTACGTCGGAAACCCTAAAAGGTTTGTCGAGGGTCCACTGTACATGCATGCATACATACATACATACATACATACATACATACATACATACATACATACATACATACATACATACATACATACATAAACATACATACATACATACATACATACATACATATATACATACACACATACATACACCCCTCTGGATTTTCTTCTCTGTTTTTAATAGTTCTTGTTTATTTCTTCTTACCTCCATGGGGAAGTGGAACAGAATTCTTCCACTGTAAGCCGTGCGTGTCGTAAGAGGTGACTAAAATGCCAAGAGCAAGGGGCTTGTAACCCCTTATTTTGTATATGTTACTAAATTTAAAAAGAGAAACTTTTGTTTTTCTTTTTAGGTCACCCTGCCTCAGTGGGATATAGCCAGTTTGTTAGGGGAAAAAAATGACTGGAGGTGTAAGGGGGCCTTACCCATCCTTGGTAAAATTGACAAAAATTAAACATTTTGCTGCTTTGAGCCCAATTTCAAGCTACTTTTGATACATTAACAAAGCAAAATTATCTCTTCCTTCCATAGTATGTTTTCCATTCTATCAAATGATACCAAGAAACAACCAACAAAAACTGTAAACTATATCCTAGAAAACTTAATGTTGCTGTTTTAAAACACATATGTGGTCATAGTTTTACTTTTCCCATCATGCACCATGTAGGGCAGCCCCTCCCACTCATATATTTGTCCAATCTCTTTAAAGCCACCCAAGGTGCTAGCCTCGATCACCCTACTCGGGAGATTGTTCCACGCATCCACAACTCTGTTAGAAAACCATTACTTACCTATGTCCTTTCTAAAACTAAATTTATCCAACTTAAATCCATTATTTCTGGTTCTTACCTGGTTCGACACCCTCAGTACTTTATTAATATATTGCCTTTGTTGATTCCCATCATCCACTTATACACTTCATTGATATCTCCTCTCATTCTACATCTCTCCAGAGAGTGGAGATTCAAGGTTCTAAGTCTGTCTTCATATGGGAGATTTCTTACACAGTAAATCATTTTAGTCATTCTTCTTTGTATGTTCTCCAATGAGTCTATATCCATCCTGTAGCACGAAGGCCAAAACTGAGTGGCATAATCTAAATGAGGCCTCACTAGTGATGTTTAGAGCTGTAAAATAACTTCCGGACTTCTATTACTTATACTTCTTGAAATAAATCCAAGTAATTTGTTAGCCTTGTTGTGCACACTTAGGCACTGCTGTCTTGGCTTTAGATTTCTGCTTACCATGACTCCCATATCTTTTTCACATTCTGTACGATCAAGTTCTACTTCACCTAGTTTATAGCTTCAAGGGTTATTTTCATTCCCAAGGACTAGTACTTTACACTTGTCCACATTGAACTTCATTTGCCATTTTTCAGACCAAGACATTAATTTGTCCAAATCCTCCTGGAGTTCATTGGAATCCTCCTCAGAATGAATCGCACGGCCTATCTTTGTATCGTCAGCAAATTTCCTTTCTTCTACTTCCTCCTCTTCTTTCAAGTACCTCTCCCTTTTCCTCACTTTCCTCTAATTTTTTATCCTTCCCCTCTAGTTTTTCTGCTCACCCATTCTTCTTCCTTGCCCTCCATTTTCTTCTCCGGCTTTTCATTTGATTTGTTTTCCTTCCCAGCTTCCCCATATGCCACCAACTGCTCATTCAGCTGCTCCTCTTCCATATCCTCCTGCTCTGTTTCCTCTTCCAATTCCTTCTCATAGTCTTAGTTTTTTCTTGGATCATTTATATTAAAGAGAATTGTTTGTCTGAGTTGGCTAAGGTGTTGGTACATTAATTCTTTGTACAGTGCTTTTTTCAGAATCACTTAACTCTTCAAATTTCTGGCTGTTGTTCACATGATAAATTGATGTCTTTAATAGCACTTTTCACATAATGGGGTCACTGTCTTTGCTAGCATTTTATCAAATATCTAAGCACTGCCACATTTATAAATTTCTGTAATGTGTATGCTTTTATGCAAGCTTTATATCTTAGAGATTTTGGTGTGATTTTGCACAAATCTTTTTCACTTATAATTTTTTCCTCTACTTTGTCTTACCAGTATTAATATTTACAGGTATTACAAAAACATTGCATTTTTTTTTTTATAACATTGTACAGTATTTATTATTCAGTGTTAAGGATAAATCTTTAACATATAAATTTTTATAGTTTTGTTAAATAGCACATGTATCCTAGATACTGTACCATTATTGCTCTAATTTGTAAGTTATGTAAATGTATAGTACTAATAATGTAGACATATAGATATAGATAGATGTAGATATCAATTGTACTACTGTTAACTGCACACAGAGGTTCGGCAAATGCTTGGAAGCATTCGTCGCAACTCTGCATATAGCAAGAGCTTCCCCGTTCCTCATGCGAAACTGAACAACAATTACAGCCAGCAGTGCTGCGAGTCTTGTCAGACAACAGATAGGTGTGTTGTATGGAGTGTGTGTACTGTGGTGTGCAAAAACCTCCTTAACAATACATGTGCATGTAGACTGAGGTTGGGAGCAAGCTAACCGCCATTAACCTTGCATCTCTGCACGTTGCCTTTGAAACAGTGAATTATAGTTTGCCCAGAAAACTAAAGTTTCTGGCATTAGAGTTACCCTGAAATCAGTAGCTCAAGATTTAGTAACCCTTTTTTTTAAAACCCACTTACCTAATCTATTCAGTGCTCTTAGATTTTGAACTGCTGTTGTATGAAATGATCTCTTGCCATCAAGTATGAAGACAAAAGCTGCAGAACAAAAAAAGACAGTGTTTCACAAAGTGAAAGACAGTGCTTCACAAAATGAAAGACAGTGTTTCACAAGGTGAAATACTGTCTTTGTTTATCATCTTGTTTGTCTGTCTGCATAAAGAGTTCTTACTGGAGTGAAAATTATTGTACAGCTGACTGTCATTTAACATGGGAATTACATTCCTGAAAATGGCATGTAATAAAAAAAATATGTAAAATTAACAGAACATATGGGAAAAATATGGTTATGTTCCTTACACTCGCAAAAATGGCAACAAATTTTTTTCTTTTATAATTTTTGTAATTTGTCAAGACTCAAAAATAATCATGTCATGTTCATTACATTATAGTTGTTATTGCTTGTTGCTATAAAAATGTGTGGGAAGGGTTGATATGACCCAGTACAATACCTGTACAAACATATGATAGGCAGTTCTACAACTATTACCTGTTACAACTTTCACCTGATATCACCACAACCACAGTCACTAAAAGTACCATATATTACGAGCCATAAAACAAAATTTTTTACTAAATAAATATGTCCAGAATAATACCCACCATAATATGAGAGCATATTTGGTAACTTTGGGGTCCCAGGGGTGAATGATAATGGAAGAGCCTTTAATTGAATTTTGTATAGAAAAAAGTTTGGTATTAGGTAATAAATATTTAAAGAAAGAGAGGATAAATAAGTACATGAGATGAGATATAGAGCATAATAACTACAGCTTGTTAGACTACATATTAGTAGATAAAAGGTTTATGAGTAAACTTCTACACATGCATGTTTTTAGAGGGGCAATAAATATACTGTGGAACCTCAAATATCGAACTGCTCCCAACTCAACCAATTATGTAAGTGTATTTTTGTAAGTGTTTTTATAAGTGTATTTTTAAGAGTCTGAAATGAACTAATCTAATTTACATTATTCCTCATGGGAATAAATTCGTTCAGTAACAGCCCCCCAACAGCCGTCTGCAACAAAGAAAGTTCGATATTTGAGGTTCCACTGTATGTATATATATATATATATATACAGTAGGGCCCCACTTATACGGCGGGTTAAGTTCCAGGCTGTTGCCAGAAAACAGAAATCGCCGGAAGGCAGAATGCCATTTTTTTCCATTTATAAATGCTTATAAATGCCAGACAACAAGTTTACACTAAATTATATTAAGTTAGTAATAGAACTAGGCATTAAAAACACACAAAGTAAAATACATTCACAGTAAATTCATTACTTACCTTAAAGTATTTATAATCTTAATGTAGGGAGAGAGGTGAGTAGTACTTATTTGTAGGAAGTCAGGTGCAGGTAGCCCAGGTGTAGGTAGCACTGGCTTCCCGTCTCATATTTAATATACGATATTTAAAACATCCCAGAGAGGTAAAATACACATACAGTACACTCATTATTTACCTTAAAATATGTGTAGTCTTAATATAGGAAGAGAGGTGAGTAGTATTTATTTGTAGGAAGTCAGTGTAGGTAGCCGGTAGGTGTAGCCCGCCTGGGCTACACCTACAGGCTACCTACACTGTGGCCCAGAGCCATATTATTAACATCGACATGCCTTGTTCACTGAATTTAATCATTTCTAACAACTACCTTTAGATGCCATCATAAACGAAGGTAGAAGTAATGAATAATTCATGCCAAAAATTGTAAACAAAAGCGGAGGGAGTGGCTGGGCCAAACGCAGATTCATACACGTTTTCTCTGATGGCAGAGCAGAGAAAACGTAATGTTGTCCCTCCAACCAGCTACCACACAGCTTCACAAGTATTATTATCAGAGCACACATAAAATATGCAATAAATGCCAGACAACAAGTTTACACTAACTTATATTAAGTTAACAATAGAAATAGGCATTAAAAACACAGTAAAAGGTATGATACACACAGAGTACACTTATTACTTACCTTAAAATATTAATATTAATGTGTGAGAGGTGAGTGGCAGGGTGTTTATTGAATAAAATCAGAATGGCACACCATCATCCTCTAACTTGGCACTTAAAGCAAGAGGCTTACGACTTATCTTTTTATTACAGCTAACCTTAGACACCATCGTCAATGAGAGCCAACTAGTTAACGAAAGAGTAAACGAGAGAGAGAACGAGATACAGAGTTGAGACAATGTAAGAACACAAACTGAACAGGTAGTGGACGATCACTTGGTCAGGCGAAATAAATGCCTATTAATATGTGTCTACTTTTTGTTCATTCATGTCCATTTGTAAGAGTTTGTAAAACATTTACCTCAATATTTTTTTATTATAATAATAATTACCTCACTATACAAATACTCTTACATTGTGTACAAGTTGTACAAGTTAGCTCAGAATAAACAAATAGCAACACACCATTTTTAGAGTGAATGAAGATAATAATAATCCTAGGTAGTAGGTTGGTAGACAGCAACCGCCCAGGGAGGTACTACCGTCCTGCCAAGTGAATGTAAAACTGAAGCCTGTAACTGTTTTACACGATGGTAGGATTGCTGGTGTCTTTTTTTTTCTGTCTCATACACATGCAAGATTTCAGGTACGTCTTGCTACTTCTACTTACACTTAGGTCACACTACACATACATGTACAAGCATATATATACACACCCCTTTGGGTTTTCTTCTATTTTCTTTCTAGTTCTTCTTGTATATTTCCTCTTACCTCCATGGGGAAGTGGAACAGAATTCTTCCTCCGTAAGCCATGCGTGTTGTAAGAGGCGACTAAAATGCCGGGAGCAAGGGGCTAGTAACCTCTTCTCCTGTATATATTACTAAATGCAAAAGGAGAAACTTTCGTTTTTCCTTTTGGGCCACCCCGCCTCAGTGGGATACAGCCGGTGTGTTGAAAGAAAGAACAATAATAATAATAATAATAATAATAATATTATTATTATTTTTTTTTTCTTTTCAACAAGTCGGCCATCTCCCACCGAGGCAGGGTGACCCAAAAAAGAAAGAAAATCCCCAAAAAGAAAATATTTTCATCATCATTCAACACTTTCACCACACTCGCACATTATCACTGTTTTTGCAGAGGTGCTCAGAATATAACAGTTTAGAAGCATATACGTATAAAGATACACAACATATCCCTCCAAAACTGCCAATATCCCAAACCCCTCCTTTTAAGTGCAGGCATTGTACTTCCCATTTCCAGGACTCAAGTCCGACTATATGAAAATAACCGGTTTCCCTGAATCCCTTCACTAAATATTACCCTGCTTACACTCCAACAGATCGTCAGGTCCCAAGTATCATTCGTCTCCATTCACTCCTATCTAACACGCTCATTCACGCTTGCTGGAAGTCCAAGCCCTCGCCACAAAACCTCCTTTACCCCTCTTTCCAAACCTTTTGAGGACGACCCTACCCCTCTTTCCTTCCCTATAGATTTATATGCTTTCCATGTCATTCTACTTTGATCCATTCTCTCTAAATGACCAAACCACCTCAACAACCCCTCTTCTGCCCTCTGACAAATGCTTTTATTAACTCCACACCTTCTCCTAATTTCCACACTCCGAATTTTTTGCATAATATTTACACCACACATTGCCCTTAGACAGGACATCTCCACTGCCTCCAACCGTCTCCTCGCTGCTGCATTTACCACCCAAGCTTCACACCCATATAAGAGTGTTGGTACTACTATACTTTCATACATTCCCTTCTTTGCCTCCATAGATAACGTTTTTTGACTCCACATATACCTCAACGCACCACTCACCTTTTTTCCCTCATCAATTCTATGATTAACCTCATCCTTCATAAATCCATCCGCCGACACGTCAACTCCCAAGTACAGTTGACCCCCGCATAACGATTACCTCCGAATGCGACCAATTATGTAAGTGTATTTATGTAAGTGCGTTTGTACATGTATGTTTGGGGGTCTGAAATGGACTAATCTACTTCACAATATTTCTTATGGGAACAAATTCGGTCAGTACTGGCACCTGAACATACTTCTGGAGTGAAAAAATATCGTTAACCGGGGGTCCACTGTACATGTATCTGAAAACATTCACTTCTTCCATACTCCTCCTCCCCAATTTGATATCCAATTTTTCTTTATCTAAATCATTTGATACCCTCATCACCTTACTCTTTTCTATGTTCACTTTCAACTTTCTACCTTTACACACATTCTCAAACTCATCCACTAACCTTTGCAATTTTTCTTTAGAATCTCCCATAAGCACAGTATCATCAGCAAAAAGTAACTGTGTCAATTCCCATTTTGAATTTGATTCCCCATAATTTAATCCCACCCCTCTCCCGAACACCCTAGCATTTACTTCTTTTACAACCCCATCTATAAATATATTAAACAACCATGGTGACATTACACATCCCTGTCTAAGACCTACTTTTATGGGAAGTATTCTCCCTCTCTTTACACACCCTAACCTGAGCCTCACTATCCTCATAAAAGCTCTTTACAGCATTTAGTAACTTACCACCTATTCCATAAACTTGCAACATCTGCCACATTGCTCCTCTATCCACTTTATCATATGCCTTTTCTAAATCCATAAATGCAATAAAAAACTTCCTACCTTTATCTAAATACTGTTCACATATATGCTTCAATGTAAACACTTGATCTACACATCCCCTACCCACTCTGAAGCCTCCTTGCTCATCCGCAATTCTACATTCTGTCTTACCTCTAATTCTTTCAATTATAACTCTACCGTATACTTTTCCTGGTATACTCAGTAAACTTATTCCTCTATAATTTTTACAATCTCTTTTGTCCCCTTTCCCTTTATATAAAGATAATATACATGCTCTCCGCCAATCCCTAGGTACCTTCCCCTCTTTCATACATTTATTAAACAAAAGTACCAACCACTCCAACACTATATCCCCCCTGCTTTTAACATTTCATGTCATGATCCCATCAGTTCCAGCTGCTTTACCCCCTTTCATTCTACGTAATGCCTCACGTACCTCCACCGCACTTACATTCTGCTCTTCTTCACTCCTAAAAGATGGTATACCTCCCTGACCAGTGCATGAAATTACTGCCTCCCTTTCTTCCTCAACATTTAAAAGTTCCTCAAAATATTCTCGCCATCTACCTAATACCTCCATCTCCCCATCTACTACTCCCCTACTCTGTTTTTAAATGAACAAATCCATACTTTCCCTAGGCTTTCTTAACTTGGTTTAACTCACTCCAAAATTTTTTCTTATTTTCATTAAAATTTCTTGACAGTGCTCTCCACTCTATCATCTGCTCTCCTTTTGCACCTCTCTCACCACTCTCTTTACCTTTCTTTTACTCTCCATATACTCTGCTCTTCTTACAACACTTCTGCTTTGTAAAACCTCTCATAAGCTACCTTTTTCTCTTTTATCACACCCTTTACTTCATCATTCCACCATCACTCCTCTTTCCTCCTGCCCCACCCTCCTATAACCACAAACTTCTGCCCCACATTCTAATACTGCATTTTTAAAAGTATTCCAGCCCTCTTCAACCCCCCCACTACTAATCTTTGCTCTAGCCCTCCTTTCTGCCAATTGTCGCTTATATCTCACCCGAACTTCCTCCTCCCTTAGTTTATACACTTTCACCTCCCTCTTACTTGTTGTTGCCACCTTCCTCTTTTCCCATCTGCCTCTTACTCTAACTGTAGCTACAACTAAATAATGATCCGATATATCAGTTGCCCCTCTATAAACATATACATCCTGGAGCCTACCCATCAACCTTTTATCCACCAATACATAATCTAACAAACTACTTTCATTACGTGCTACATCATACCTTGTATATTTATTTATACCTTGTATATTTATTTATCCTCCTGGAAATGGGAAGTACAATGCCTGCACTTTATAGGAAGGGTTTGGGATATTGGCAGTTTTGGAGGGATATGTTGTGTATCTTTATACGTATATGCTTCTAAACTGTTGTGTTCTGAGCACCTCTGCAAAAGCAGTGATAATGTGTAAGTGTGGTGAAAGTGTTGAATGATGATGAAAGTATTTTCTTTTTGGGGATTTTCTTTCTTTTTTGGGTCACCCTGCCTCGGAGAGAGTGCAAAAATTATAGGGGGATAAGTCTGTTGAGTGTACCTGGTAAAGTGTATGGTAGAGGTAGAATTGAAAGAATTAAGAGTTAAGACGGAGAATAGTGATTAGCAGATGAAACAAGGAGGCTTAGGAAAAGGTAGGGGAAGGTGTGTGGACCAGGTTGTTTACAGTGAAACATATAATACGTGAACAGTATTTAGATAAGGCTAAAGAGTTGTTGTGGCATTTATGGATTTGGAAAAGGCGTTATGACAGGGGTGGTTAGGGGGGCATGTGGTCAGATGTTGCAGTGTATGGTTGTAGGATGGTAGGTTACTGAAAGCAGTGAAGGGTTTTTACGAGGATAGTGAGGCTCAAGTTAGAGTATGTAGGAAAGAGGGTGACATTTTTCTCAGTAAAAGTTGGCCTTAAGCAAGGTATGTGTGATGTCACCGTGGATTGTTTAATATAATTTTATAGATAGGGGTTGTAGAGAAGTAATGCGAGGGTCTTGGCAAGAGGCGTCGGAGGTTAAAAGATAAAGAATCACACACAAAGTGGGAGTTGCTGACACTCAGATGACTCTTTGCTGATGACCACTGGGCTCTTGGGAGATTTCTGAAGTGATGTTGCAGAGATGGTGGATGAATTTGGTAGGTGGTGCAAAAGGAAGGAAGATTAAGGTGAATAAGGAATAAGAGTAAGGTTATTGAGGATAACAAAAAGATTAGGTGATATGAAAAGATTGAATATCAGATTGGAGGGAGAGAGTATGGAGGGAGGTGAAGTTTTCAGATATTTGGGAATGTGGACGTGTTCAGCCGGATGGGTTATGAAAGTTGAGGTGAATCATAGAAAATTGATTGAGGGAAAAAGGTGTGAGTGTGCACTTAGGAGTCTGGGAGAAAAGAACTTTGTCCTTGAGGAAAGAGGGGAATGTATGAGGAGTTTATAGTTTTACCAACGCTCTTATATGGGTGTGAAGACGTGGGTGGTGAAGTTGCACGTGAGGAGAAGGCTGGAGGGCAGTGGAGATGTCATGTCTGAGGGCAATGTGTGGATGTGAATATAATGCAGAGAATTCGTAGTTTGAAGTTAGGAGGAGGTGCGGGATTACCAAAACTGTTGTCCAGAGGGCTGAGGAAGGGTGCTTGAGTGGTTCGGACTTGATAGAGAGAATGGAGCGAACAGAAAAGACTTCAGAGTGTATCAGACTCTGTAGTGAAGGAAGGCGGGGTAGGGTCGGCCCTAGGAAGGGTTGAGGGTAGGGGTAAATGGATGTTTTGTGGCGAGGGGCTTGGACTTCAGCAGGCATGCGATTGAGGTGTTTTTGATAGGAATGTGAATGGAGTCAAATGTTTTTCAATACTTGACGTGCTGTTGGAGGTGATGCAAAGTAACATTTATGAAGGGGATTAGGGAAACCGGCAGGACGGACTTGAGTCCTGGAGATGGGAAGTAGTACAGTGCCTGCACGCTGAAGGAGGGGTGTTAATGTTGCAGTGTAAAAACTGTAGTGTAAGCACCCCTTCTGGCAAGGACAGTGAAGGAGATGAATGTGGTGAAAGTTTTTCTTTTTGGGCGCCTCTGCCTTGGTGGGAATCGGCCGGTGTGATAATAAAAAAGAAAATAAATATATCATATATATATATATATTATTTATATATATATATTTATATAATATATATACTATAGGATATATATATATATAAATACA